CCCCCCCGTGACAATGACACTGCCGTACAAGCCCTGAGAGCAGAGAGGAGTGCGCCGTCAGGGCACAGCCCCTGCCCGTCTCCCCACCGCTCCTGGGCCCCTTTGCCCAGACACAGCCCCGGGCCTCACCGGGCGGATGTCGATGTCACACATGCCGATGCTGGTGGTCACCACGTGGCCCACACCAAGCATGGTGTTCCCCGACAGGCCCTGCCGAGAAAGGTGACCTGGCCTGTGGGCCTCTGCCCTCTCTCCCCAGACCCCAGGGATCCTTCCCAGCCCCCCACCCCCACACGCTGGCATCTGGGGAATCCAACGAGCCCCCACCTCGATACCCTCCACCAGGGCCAACCTTGACATTGGAGGGGTCAAACAGGCCCTCAGGAATGCGGAGCCGCTCAGCCCCGTAGTCTGTGTTGTAGCCGTTGGGCATTTCGTAGTGCACTGTGGGCATTTGCGCGGCCACCCTGCCCAGGAGAGAGAGAGACTCTGCCTGGGGGTGCTCACAGAGGGCCAGAGGTACCCCCGGAGTCCCAGGCCTGCCCACTTTCCCACCCCTGGGCCGTGGGCTCCACTTACTGCTCATCGTAGGGAGAGTCTGAGACCTGCAGCACTGAGGCCTGGAAGTCCTGAATCACCTCATTGCACATGTAGTTATGCCAGGACTTGGAAACCTGGGGTAGCTTCTCCTTTTCCCAGTTTGGAGGGGCGCCCTCCCATACGGGTTCCTTGGCTGCAGTCATGTAAGGTGGGATGATGTCCATGGCCATTTCCTGGAAGAGCTCCCTGCACTGCATAGAGATGAAATCTCCTGTCAGGGGTGACTTGACAATGCTTTGCTGCAGGACGTAGCCGTCATGTACTGGGATGGCTGTGGTGTGGGTGGCCCCACTGTTTAGCACCAGGCCCGTGGAACGTCCGTTTGCAAAGGCGGTGAGCACAGCCGTCTTGCATTAAGAAGAAGGCAGGAATGTTGTACTGCTTGAACATCAGCTCTGTCAGCTTCTCCCCCTTGGCCTGTGTGTTCCACAGGGCCTCGGACATGAGCACTGGGTGCAGGTTGGGTTCGGACTTGACGTGTTTACTGTAGGTGTGATCCAGGATGGCACGGAAGCATTCCCAGTCCTCAATCATGCCATTCTTGAGGGGCAACATGACCTCTGCTCCATCCCGAGGCACATGCAGGGCGTCAGTGTCGATGTGGAAGATCTTCCCTTTCTTCTCTTTCTCCCCCTCCAACTCCAGCCCGCCCTCCTCCTCCGCGGCCAGCAGCCCCACATGGTGGGGAAGTCAGCCTTGGGGCAGTCCTCCCCAGTGTACCCAGCACGGACAGAGAAGGAACCAATGTCAAAGACCAGTGCCCCCACCTCATCCTCAGTCCATTGCAAGCAAAGCATTCACTCCAGGTGCTCTTGACAAAGACACCAATGGCCTCCATGTTACTTAATCTTATGCACACTTCCCAGTCCAGTCTTGCTTCATCCCTCTGCAGCATTCAACATGGTTTGCCATTCCCTTTTTGGAACATTCTTTTCTTTTGGGTTCCAGAACTTTAAGGCCATTTTCTCAGAGTGCATGCAGCTAGGCATGTCCAGTTTGCCTGTGTAGTTTTGCAAGTTTTCCTGTGATGTATGTACCTTTTTACCTGAAAAACAGGTGGCTAATTTCCATTAAAACAGTGGTTTTCAAACTTTGATGCATATTAGAATTACTTGAAGCACTTACAGAAATATCTGTGCCCAGGTTGTGTCCCAGACTGATTAAATCAGAATCTCTGAATGTGGGCCCCAGGCATCAATATCTGTGAAACTGAT